AGCTAGTTTTTCACCTTGCCTCCATAAAGTCAGATGTACAATAAACGAGCTTTACTGCTTTAGTCGTGGATAGTTAAGTATAAAGAACTAAATTGATAAATTGAGTACTCTTCTGGTCAGGCCTTCTTGATCGGAACTGCCGTTCGGACGGCGGCTTTTTGTCCACTTCTCGGTCGAAAAACTTGATGAATTTTTTGAAAATGTTCTTCATCAAGTCTAGTTTATCCATACAAAAATTCGGCTAAAAATTCAATTGTGAGGACAGACAAATAAATTTTGGAAAATAACTGTGCCAAAATATACATATAAAAGGCAGTTATCTTCCAAAACTTATTTGACTGATTGAATTTTTAGCCGATTATTTGTGGATAAACTATATTTGATGAATGACATTACCAAAAAATCTCATCATCCACCGGAAAGTGGCCAAAAGCCCGAAACGCCGCCGCCCGGACGGCGGTTCTGGTCCGAAATTCCGGACTTGAAGATTTGTTTGATAAATTTGGGTTATGTTCCTCTTTTCTTCCAACAACACACCTAAAACATCATGGTTTATCCGCTTATATACTCCTCATTTAGTAAAATAACATTTTAAATTTAGTGTTGCAATGACATCATGTGCTATGTTAGTCTATGGTAATTCTGGTGCTAATTTCATTACTGATGATCACAATGAGATTAAAAATGTCTCGTGCTCATATCTGCATTTTCGGTGTTTGTGGAGTTCGTATATCGTGGAACCTTCCCACGATGAACACCGTACTCCTGCAATCAAAACGACACAACTTTGATTTTTTTAATAAAAAAGTCGCGCATGAACAGTATGCGCGTATAATAATTTTTGTTTTTTGGTTTTTTTCTTTGTCGCAGTAGCAGAGTGATGTAACTCATGTGTAACGAAATGTAACTCACGTAATTGATCAATGTAACTCAAGTCCAGTCGAAATGTAACTTGTTCAATACATATTATAAGAAATAAAATATTGATTTTAATAAAAAAGATAGTCTAATTGCCTAAACTTTTTACATAAATAGTGTATGTGTTTTTTTTAAATATCAGGATTATAAAAATGATTTTTTATGAAATGATTTGTTTTTTTATAACAGGGGTTTGTTATGTTGTGTAACTCGCATTCTATTTCGGTGTAACTCACATTATGTAAAATGTAAATCACATGTAAGTAAGATGTAATTTGCCAAGGAAAATTAACATGTAACTCGCTTTAATAGATATGTAACTTTAGACAAATTCTTATGTAACTGCATGCATTTTCAAAAGTAATTAATCTGCTGCTTTTTCATTGTCTCCTGCAAGGCTGCAAGTCATCCTCCAAATTGGAGGCTGAGTCTGCTCAAAGCTTTTGAGCAGATCAAAGGTTGAAGAGCAAAGAATTGGAATCTGATTAAGTGGCTCCAAACCTCCAATGATGAATCGGGTGATGCTCTAATTTCTTTGCATGGGTGCACTAAGCAGCTTGTCTCCTGCAAGTCATCCTCCAAAATTGGAGGCAGAGCCTGCTCAAAGGTTTTGAGCAGATCAAAGGTTGAAGAGCAAAGAATTGGAATCTGATTAAGTGGCTCCAAACCTCCAATCAGTGAATCGGGTAATGCTCTAATTTGTCTGCATCGGTGCACTAAGCAGCTGCGGCAGAATTGAAGATGATCGATCATTAGTGGTCTATTATTTTTTGCAAGAGACGATTGTTTTTAATTAATGAAATGATGTCATTTAGGGACCAGGCACATCATCCTCATGGTGTCCCGATCGTAGGGTATAATTTGCGGTGTTTGTGGTGGTAATCATAGTAATTAATAAGATTAGTTAATGACTTTTAGTGAGGTTGTAATGCAGTTAATTGACAATATGACAGAATATCACGATGTAGTGCAGAGTGTACAAGTGTCATGAGATTGAACTTGATTCACTAAGAAGTACAAAACTGAAAATAAAAAGGATATATGTAGAGCTGCAAAAATTGCTCCAAACTTCCCTTGTTGAAGAAACAACCGTGGAAGAATCCTCCATGTTCATCTTACATGCCACATTGGGTCTCCTATTAGGGTGTAGCTCTTTGAATGAATAATGTGTGCATTATGGGCAAAACAAGTATGCTATTTTATAATGCTTTTCAGTATTTTTAGAATGGATTCTATTATTGCTTTTTAGGAAATCAAAATTAGAATGGGAGTATATATTTAATTACGATATGTTTTATCATAAACATTTCAAAGCATTTTCCTAAACTTATTCTGGTATATTTCACTCCCCTCAAATGGGAGTATATATACTTACTTGTTTACATTCCAACTTATTACATAAATGAGCAAATTCAAATAACATCCAATGTTTTAGTGAATAAATATTGGCAAAATTGATAAAAATAATCTCTACTTTTACCAATTAAACAAAAAAAATCCCAACTTCAAAATTCTACATTAATAATCCAAACTTCTAATCCCGGTCACAAAAATATAATAAACGAGACAGGGTTATCGTTGAAACAAACACCGTTAAACTCCTCGTCTTTCTCTCTCTCCTTTCTCTGCGGTCGAAGAAGCAATGAGTAGTCCCTATTAATCTTTGGCCTCTCACGCAATTACTCCCTCGTCAAAGCATAAATGCATAATTGATTCCCAGATTTCACTGTCTCTGTTCTGAATCCTTTACTTAATATATCATCCGTATTGTGGTGGAATGTGTTTGTTCTATCAGTAACATCTCAAGTGTTTTTTGCTACTGTAGGCCTTAGCCGACCTTCTCCCTTCTCTAAAGGAATCTGGGCATCGTCAATCAAAAATTAGTATTTATGCCTGCCCCTTGTTCGGCCCTGAGGACACCATCCGCAACAGAGAAGAAACACCATGCTTGTGTTTCCATTTGGGTTCTTGTGTTTCACGATTTCGTCGCTATAGCAAAGCGGCCATGTGCTGTTTCAGAAATTTTGAGAGGGAGATCCAAATACAAGACTTCCGTATGGTAAGAGATGAAGATGGAGAAGGATTGAAATTGCCCAGCCTAGAGAATAGAGATTCCCTCAAGCGGACGGAGGTTCAGACGGAAATTTACTTCCGTCTCATTTGTTGTATTTCTAGCAACAGTAAGGGAAGTTTGGATTAATTCTGTAAATATTTGAAGTAGGGATTATTTTTGTTTAATTGATCAAAGTAGAGATTAATCTTGTCAATTTCACCATAAATATTCGAGTTGTTTTATGGTCTTCACATATCAAGTAGAATCTAATCTTTTATGTATCTTCTGCCGAACAAAATGATAATTGGCTATAAAGAGTGTTTATTAAGATGTAAACTAAATATAGCATGTGAATTGTACAATATAAAAATTTACGCCGTTTGACTTGATTATTTAATGCAAACTGTAAGATGCTTTTAAAAATATTTACATTGTACCATGTAAAATATTTGATGTAGGGGTGGTAAAATACTTCACATGCATTTATAAAACAGTACAATTACTTTACATGTAATTTGAAAATAAATTACATACCTAAACTAAACAATGTATTCTTATTATACATGCGTATAGATTGTCTCCCCAAGCGTTGCATGTTATTGTTTTGTGTGTAAAACTTTAGTATGTAAAATATCAAAGGAGGCCACACCTAAACATAGTTTGCAACCATTATGGGGTAAAAAAAATTACTACAAGTCAAAAAAAAAAATAAAGTTGATGTGATAGATGCAAAAGAAGGGATAATTCCCTGCGCATATCATACAATCCAGTACATACACACACTCTTTTGGAAACCCTACTTACATGAAAAGTTCCCTCCTTTTTTACCTTCTATAAATACACTTTCGAAAAGAAGAGTTTAATACACACAACACATAACACACATCACACACATCACACACTACACTACATATAGACTACATTTATGGCAGCCAACATAAATGCTGCCCAATCTTCTTCTTCTTCCCCTTCTGCACCTTCCATAAATAAAGATTTGGCTTCATCTTCACTAACTGCTTCTGCACCTTCCATAAATGAAGACCTGCCTTCATCTTCATTAGGCTCTTTTGCAGATCTGCAAACAACAACACAAGACTCAAGCTCAAATATCAAAGCTAAAAGATTAGGAAACAAGGAAAGAGAGCATAGTAGATGAAATCCTAATCAGTTCTAAAAGAGATTATTCTGGGGCATTACTAGCTCAGAAAGGTGTGTTTATTAAGCTAGTCACTAAATACTTAGTGACTAGAAGAACTATTTTCAACATTTGGAACACAGCCAAAGAGCAACTTGAAAAAGGGGATGTTGTAGATGTAAGTACAAAGTGGGTGAGAACTTAGACAATAAAAGAGTCATGTTTGATGTTAGTCATATTCCAGAAATCCCTCTTCATAAAAGGACCAACATAAGGGCACCTGTCTCTGCCTCTTCATTGTCAAAGTCAACCATTCACAGGCTCGTTCACAGAGGTATTCTTAGAAGTCACACTAATGCTATAGAGCCTTTTCTAAGTGACACAAATAGGATGTCGCTGAGAAACCACTCTCTTCTTCGAACCCGTGGCAACAAGAAAAGGGAAGGATATAGTTTCTTGATTTTTTTTGGAGAAATGGAAAAGTTACTCTTTGAATGTCAATCACTAAAGGGTGTGATTGGGCTACAAGTTAACTTTGACAGTTATTTGAGCCAAAAAATAGATTTAAGGGCATATGTACCACATGGTGTATTATTGAGGGTATTTTTGTTTCTTATCCCTCATTAAATTTTAGGGGGTGCTTGGAAGTGATTTTGTTTCTGCAACTTTTCTAAAGAAGAATCAGAATCAGAATCAGTTTTTCAGAATCTGGTCTCCTCCAGCTTTAAAAAAACGGATTCTAGCAGTAAATTAGAGCACCAGAATCATTTCCGCACTTTCACCCAAACACTCCAACTTCTCTGTTACCTGAAGGAGCAGAAGTAGTTTAAGAATCCAATCCAAACACCCCTTAAGGGTGTATGTTTTATTTTTTTACATATGAACACATGAGCATATGACACATATTTTCGAATCTGCCAAGGTTTGTTGACAGTTCCCAAAAGTTTGATCCATGGTGTATGTTTTTTTTCTTCATACGAGTGAGTATATGACACATATTTTCGAGTTCTTTTATTTTGGACTTTATTTGATCACCAGCACTAACTGTCCCAGCTATCAGACCAACGTCTCTATCCCTCCTGAGATCTTCCGTTGTTGACCGGACGTCCGGACCTGAGAACTGACCTCCGGTGAATCGATGAGCCACTCTACCGAACAGCTGAGTGTGTTTTTCTCCTAGCAGACCGGACCTGTCGATGAAGTGCAAATCCGTTGCATGTATATGGTCAGGCTCACCACCGGCACACAAAGTCACCGCCTTAGCCGTACTCAATCACCCTCCTACTCTCTACACTGGTGGCTCCGATGGCTCCATCATCTGGTGGAGCCTCTACTCTTCCATCGGATCTGCTAAGGTAAAATCGCCTCTTCTAATGTCGAAATACCTTCCACTCCAGTAGATTTTTCTCATTGTTCTTGTTGTTAATCTTAAATAAATATGGCACACGTTATATTGTAAGCGGTGAGTTCGTTTTGATTATCAGGAAATCAAGCCCATTTCTATGCTGTGTGGTCACGCTGCTCCAATAGTTGATTTAGGGATATGTTGTCCTACATCAGTTTCTGGGGATGGTAGAGTAGATCAAGTTGAACCCAATAGTAGTGTGGTATTGAATTCTAACAATGGTGCACTAATAAGTGTATGCACTGATGGTGTGATGTGTGTATGGAGTAGAGCCAGTGGAAACTGCAGACGCAGACGGAAATTGCCTGCATGGGCCGGAGCACCATCCTTCCTCCGGCCATTTCCCGAAAATCATAGATATGTGTGCATTTCCTGTTTCGCTGTTGATTCTGTTTATGTACCTGAACATCAGTCACTTGATGGTGGAGTTGAAGGTTTAGTAGATTCAGAAGCGCTTAATGTTAAACCATCTAAATGCACAATCATCATTGTTGATTCATATACTCTTAACATTCTCCAAACAGTTTTCAATGGATTCTTATCCATCGGACCTTTAAAGTCTATGGATATAGTTTCATCCATTGGAGATATACTTATGCAGTCAGTTATGATGGTTGACTCTTTCGGAAAAGTACAATGTGTACCGATATTGAAAGAATGTGGTTCAAACTCAGAAAAAATGACGGCAACACCTAGCATTCCCTCTAGTATAGGGAATATAGACTGGGTAGATGGGTCAAATGAGAGAGGTCTTCTGTTGTCTATCATAAATTTCGGTCAGGTCTTAGGTTTTCTGTTCAAAACATGCTGTATATTTCGGTTCTTAGAGGATGACAGTAAAATAGAGGAAATTTCTTTTTTAGATAGTCCACTTTCTGTAGAAGGCAGTTATATCGTTGGGGGCATGGTTCTTAGATATGATCAAATTGAGACAGGGCTTGATTATGAGAATTCATTTAGTTTATTTGCTGTTTGGAGTAATAGAGGTTCAGCTGTTATATACAGGGTATTGTATTCAAGCAATGTCTTCATGTATGAACCCATATCTACCATCTGTGCCAGTTCTTGCTCTTCTGATGTGAGGTTATCTATATCCTTTGCTCAATTAGACAAATGTCTTATCCGGGTAGAATCAATTTGCTTTCATATGGAAGAACCATCGTTTTGGATGCCACATTTAGCGGTTTGGTCATTGCCTGAACAGTGTGGTAATTATGTGAAGCTATCACCTCAAGAGTGTGACATGATTGGTAAAGGAAACTACTTTGAAGACTGGGACGTAAACCTTACTTCCTCTGGAACAGAGGGGGTAAGGCAGGATGTTCGAGCAAAAGCAAAGAGCACTGATCATAAAATTTCTAAGAGTTATTGTTCTTATGATAGAGGAGGGCTAGTATCTTCATCCCTGGTTATTTCTGAGGACGACTATGTGCCCTTAGCTGTTGTTTACGGTTTCTATAATGGTGACATAAAAGTAATGCGTTTTGACATGTTTTTCGAAGAATTGAATTCTCACCATCAAAATGAACACACAACTGAACATTGTCTCACTGGTCACAGAGGGGCTGTACTATGTCTGGCTGCACATTGTCTGAAAAAATCTTCTGAAGGGACTTCCACTTATATTTTGTTGTCAGGAAGCATGGACTGCACAGTTCGTATGTGGGATCTTGATTCTGGCAAACCCCTAATAGTGATGCACCAACATGTAGCTCCAGTCCGCCAAATTATTCTCCCCCCACCTCAAACTGACCATCCTTGGAATGATTGCTTTCTTTCTGTCGGGGAAGACTCATGTGTTGCCCTTGCTTCACTGGACACTATGCGAGTTGAACGAATGTTCCCAGGCCACCCATTTTATCCCGCAAAAGTTATGTGGGACAGTAGAAGAGGCTATATAGCATGCCTCTGTTCAAATCAGATAGGAGCATCTGCTCGAGTTGATATTCTGTACATTTGGGATGTGAAGACTGGGGCCCGTGAGAGGGTCCTTCGCGGAGCTGCTGCTCATTCAATGTTTGAACATTTCTGTGCAGGCATCAATAAAAATCTTCCCTCCACTGATATGCTAAATGGGAATACGTCTGCTTCCTTGATGCTTTTTCCTGTTGTTGATGAGGCGAAGTATTCACAAACTTCGGGGAAGACGGCCTCTTCGTCAAAAATATCTTCTGCCGGTACAAGAACAAATTATAGGTCTACGTCTGCATCTGGGAATGGTGGAAATGCTTCTGGGTCTGTTTTTTCTTCCTTCCATTGCACATACCAACCAATTAAAAGCTTTTGTCCATTTCCTGGAATTTGTGCTCTATCTTTTGATCTTACAGATCTCGTGTCTCTTTGTCTGAGACTTGAGCCTTTGAGAAATGAGTGTGGTAACCTCAATAAAAAGCAAGAAAAAGTGGCAAGGATTGAGTATCACTCACATACTGTTGATACTAAGCCGAACATTCATAGAAAGGAGGTTGGAAAGGGATTGCCCGGTCAGCACCACACAATTGAGGATAACAATGTTGACGAGACTAAAAGAGATGTTGCCCAATATCATGAGTGGATCTGCTCCCTTGAGAAGTGTTTACTTCAGTTCAGTTTGGCAATATTACATTTGTGGGATGTGGATTATGAGCTTGATGAACTGCTAGTGAATGAAATGAAGCTTAGGAGACCATCAAATTTGTTTATAGCTTCTGGTCTAATAGGGGATAAAGGGTCTTTGACACTGACATTTCCTGACGCTACTGCAACTCTTGAGGTAGTTTAACAATTATATCTGAGTCAATCAACCACTCCTCCATGGCTCTTTATGTTAAGACATTGGTGTTGACATTACAGCTTTGGAAATCATCATCCGAGTATTGTGCAATCCGTTCACTAACTATGGTTTCCCTTGCCCAGCATATCATTAGCCTGTCACACGCCTATTCAGCCGCCAGCAGGTACTGTATTTTGTAATCTACATAGTCATAGTCACATTTACTTAAGCTCTCTACATTAGATTGCATGTCCTCATTGCTGGGTGTTACTATTAAGAGTGCACATGATCTTGTCTGGGTTCCAAGATCTAGAGATTGGGAAGATGTGAAGCTGCATGTGGATGGAGTGTTTGGATGATGGTTTTAAATACTTCATGGGAAATAGAAATGAAGGCTTAAGATGGAATTAATGTGATATAGTCAAACCATACAAAAATAATTCTTCCAAAAGTAGTTTCATAAATCAACTGAGGACTCTTGTATATAGCTGTTACAAGATTCCAAAACTAAAAAAGAAACAGAACGTTGTTGAAAATATCGTAGGCATATTGAAATGAACAAAAGTGTGAAAGTCTCCCTTGAAAAATTCCCTTACTATTATATATTTAAGCTGACTTTGAGAAGTCTTACATTAAAATTGTTTTTGTACCTTTGAGACAGATAATAACTTATTGCGGATTTTTGGATTAAATTGAATGTTTATTTATTACTAGGTTGTGAAAATTGTTGAGTACACTAACTAATTGATTTGTTTACTATATATTTGTTAAGTTTATATGTTTGTTAATGTATATGAACTTGTTCGTCAATACTTAACAAACGATCACAAACAGAATACTACTCGATCAGTTTGTTCGTGAACAGCATCTAAAGCTTAACGGACAAACATGAGGACACTTGGGCTCACCTCGGACACTTTCAGTTACATAATTACATTATTTGTGCATTTTATCTTCCGCATATACTAATATCCATTTTAGGATTTTTAGGCCTTTTGGGCTCATATATTTCCATTCAGGCTCCGTTTGTTTAATAACAATTGCAGGATTTTTCTGTTTGGCAGTAGAAAATGTGGAAAGTATTTTCATGAAGTAAAACAATTTCCATTACTTTTTTAACATTGTGGAAAATGTCTCCTTTAAACAGAGAAAGTCATGTTCTTGAAGTCATTAGATTTTTTATTTATTTGCTTGACATTATAAGGGATGATATTTTTCTGCAAACAAATGGAACTTTGTTTATCCCTAATGATTGAAAATTCATTATCCCCTTTTGAGACTTGACGTAAAAGCTGGTGTGAGTGTATTGCTTTTCTTATTCCTTCCACTTTTAGAACATTGGCTGGCTTTTGGCACTTATTAATGGCTCTTTTGTAATACGTTGTACTTGTTGCAGTGCACTTTCGGCATTTTATATGCGCAATTTGACAGAGAAGATCCCAAACATTAAGCCCCCTTTACTGCAGGTAACATGCTATATGAAAAGGTTTTGACATTCCAAATTCAAATATCTAGTTGATAGTTTGATGTAGATGCTAGTCTATGACTATTAGGTTTTGGTGGATTTTTCATGTTGTGATGGGGTGCAATCTCATTCACAATTTCCGTTTCCGGCTTTCCGTGATATGTTTAATGTCCTCTTTTCCCCCGTAGTGCTTGGTACTTCGAAAGATGTTGCACAATGTGGTAGTAAAATTTATTTAGTTGTTAGAACTCTATTTTTGTGCCATAAGTATGTAGAATTGTATGGATTGCTTCCTTGCAACAGGGAGAACCCGCACCGTAAGTAAATATAATGACCTCCATGTGACCACTGGTGGATTGGGTAGTTCTGATATCGCACTCTATGCATGTATTGTCTAGTAAGTTATACTTTTATCATATTCCCTTGCTCTATACCAGGTCTGATCCTGAAAGGTGTTGAGACTTCAGACTTTATTTTAGCTGTCAATTTATCTTGTTTTTCTGTTCACGTAAGAAAACATCTTTTGAATTCTTCTGTTCAATCCATATCCCTTAATGTCTAAAATCCTATTTAATTACATTGACATATTTGATAGTTACTTATTTAATTACATGTTTTTTTGAAGCTTTTAGTAAGCTTTTGGCAAGATGAGGTTGACCATGTAAAAATGGCTGCACGTTCTTTGTTCCATTGTGCTGCTTCACGAGCTATACCCCCTCCACTTTGCACGGATAAAGCAACCCATCATGAAAGTTTTATGGATTATTCAGATGGACTGTCAGAAAGAGAAAAGTCTAACTCCACAGCAGATAAACCCACAGACTACTCAAGGGCTGAGAGGCACATAGAGGTAGAAACGGATTCTGAGGACATAGAATCTGAAATATTATCATGGCTAGAGTCATTTGAAATGCACGACTGGATTTCTTGTGTTGGAGGCACAAGTCAAGACGCAATGACATCTCATATTGCTGTTGCTGCTGCTTTGGCTGTTTGGTATCCTAGCCTTGTAAAACCAAAGCTTGCCATGCTAGTTGTTCACCCATTGATGAAATTGGTAATGGCTATGAATGAAAAATATAGTCCTACTGCTGCAGAGATTCTAGCAGAAGGTATGGAGAGCACATGGAAGGCAATCATTGGTTCTGAAATAACTCGACTTTTTGGGGATATTTTCTTTCAAATTGAGTGCGTCAGTGGTGCACCTGCTAATGCATCCATTCAAAAGTCATCCTTATCTGAAAAAGTTTATGAAACTTTGGTTGATGTTCTTCTTCCAAGTTTAGCAATGGCTGATATACCAGGTTTTCTGAATGTAATTGAAAGCCAAGTCTGGTCAACTGCATCAGATTCACCTGTGCATGCAGTATCCCTCATGACTCTTATCAGGGTTGTACGCGGTTCTCCAAGAATTTTAGTCCAGTACCTTGACAAGGTCCGCATCTCTTAGATTGAGCTATATTCATTCTTCAATTTGAGGCGCTTGTTGCTTTTGAAAATATTGCCTCAACCAATGATGAAAATACCCTAATTTATTAGAAATTCCTGTATGTTAAGGTCTTCAATATCGATATGAAGAATAAGAAAATTTCTGTAGAATCTCAGCAAAAATCTGTACGTTGCCGAGAAATATATACATCAACAACATCCGTGCCTTAGTCCCGAAATATTTTGAGAAATATCGGGAAGTATAAAAAAACCTTACATATTGTTGTCCCCCCAAAGTTTTCTGATATTGGTGTTGAAGTATCCACCGATATCCTTTAAATTCAAAGTACAAGATATTTTCCACAAATACCATCTTTTTTTACTTGACTTAAACTTTATACTAAACCCTTCAAGCATTAGATGTTTACTTTAGAAGCTCTTTTAAAAGTTACACTCATAATGTATACCATATATGTTAGTGAAGGGTTTGATAGTTTATGGCTTTATGCTAAGGGAGAGAACAATATGGGGCTGTTTACTTTCGACTTAGTGGACTTATTGAGAATAACGACATAATCATTCAACCATTAAGTCATGTTTACTTGCGACTTAATTGATAGCATGACTCAATTATTCAGTCAAAAAAACTGACTTGATCATTAAGATGGAAAATAATAATCCTTCCCATTAAGACGTCTATTAAGATGTCTTTTATGTCAACTTTTTTAAATCAATTGTGGAATAGATTTATGTATATAAATGAAACTTCTCATGGACATTATAACCCAAGAATACTACTAAATTGATTATTTTACTCAATTCAGATTGTTTATTCAGCACACAAAATAAATGGCCTCATATACAAATAACACTTAATCCAGACATACATCTTAATCTAGACACGACTTAATAGATAAAAAGTAAATAGCCCCTAACAAGGTGAAGTCTATTAGAGACCCCCATGTAGACCATTATAAGGTATTTTATGTCATGCAGTCTACTGTTGGCACAAACTCTTCAAAGGGTCTTGGATGGGAGAAATTCTTTCATTCTTCTTCCTATAAAGAAAGGGCAGCCCGGTGCACGAAAGCTCCCCTCAAGGGAGCTTATCAATATTTCATCTCTTCTCTTTGTAAGCCTTGAACCACTTCCAAATAGTAGCTCGTCTAACATTTGGACTGGTGTCCAGGTGGTTACTTTCATTTTACAGACAATGGATCCTGGTAACTCGGTCATGCGTAAGGCTTGCTCGCAAAGTTCAACGGTTGCATTGAAGGAAGTTGTTCGTGTTTTTCCTATGGTAGCCCTAAATGATTCATTGAAAAAGTTGGCCATTGGAGATGCATTTGGTGAGATAAACAATACAAGCATTCGCATATATGATATGCAAAGGTAAGAACTGAAAACATTTGAGTTTGAGAATACAAACCACTTGGATTGCTTAGATAGTTTGATGTTTAAAACTTATATACTCATGTATAGTTGCATTCAGCATATACTTCATATCGTTTCCAACTTTTGTTTATAATACATCTAAGGCTGATTTTATGGAATTTTCTGTGCTAGTCTAACAAAGTGAGTTTTATTATCCCATTCTCTTTACGGTAAAGATATCACTGCCTTTTCTTTTCAACAAATATTCAGCATTACAAAAATAAAGATCTTGGATGCAAGTGGACCACCTGGACTTCCACGTTTGCTAGGAGGTTCAGAAATGGCTGTGAATTCTGCTATATCTGCTCTTAGCTTTTCACCAGATGGAGAGGTATTCTAATTTTTATTATGCTTTTTAAGCTGGGTTTCTATTGTGCGTTTGTTCCTATGAACTAGCCACCCATGTTCTCTGTGACTTTTGAGCTGTCGTTTTATATCTACATCTATTCCCTTGGCTTGTTGGTTGTTATTGATAAGGTGTATAAGCAATTGGTCGATATTTGTAATGGCTCAGATATTCAGTTCTCTGTTTGATAGCACAGCAACATGTATATCCTTCTCTTCAGTGTTTTTCTTTGTGTCCAAAATTTTTCATGGGTTTGTCTGATCATCAATTCTTGTCCCTTTATGTTCTTCAAACTAAATTGCTAATGTAAGCATTAGTTTGTACTTTCATATGGGTCATCCGGAAACAATCTCTCTTGGTAATACTGCGTACATCCGACCCCCCCCCCCCCCTTACGCCACTGTAGGTGACAGCCTTTGCGGTACTGGTGTGATGATGATGATGAGCATTAGCTTGTACTTTACTTTTATGCCTGCTTTAATTACCTGTCTGTATTGTCTTATTTCAAGCTCTTCTTTGTTATGTAATTTCTTGGGTAGTTGGGTGTAATGGCCATATGTTATTTTGCCACTCCACTACATTTCCCCTTTGGATTTTATTTTGTGATTTTTGTTTACAAAGTATTTATCGAAGTCATCTAAATTCTTAAAAAAGAAAATTGACATCTTCCAAAAAATCCTAAAATTTTGGAAATGGCCTCTCTAGTCCTAGGGATAAAGGCAGGGTCGGCATATATCTGACCTTCCCAGACCTTTCTTTCGATTGGGATATATTGGGTATGTTTAGTTCTTCATGCCCAACTGCATGCTGTCGTAGCCCTCTGTTATTCAGTCTAAGTGTATTGAGTCTTAGTTTTATAAAAAAGATCGCATTAAAATTAAATTTTTGTACATTTGTGTCACACTTGTAAGCTGTTTTAACTCTTCATTCGATGAGTGCTTTCCTATGTAGTACAAATGCTTCAATTACTTGCCTTGTCTCTGTAAGCAAATTCTCTCGCATGGTGTGCCAGATAACTTACAATAAATATTCTGTTGAACTGTAAAATGAAATTTGAATATGGTATAAATTTGATTCATAAAATCAGAAATTATAAAAGGAAATAAGTTGAGCGCTTGAATAGTGAAATAGAACCATATTTTGAATACATGTTATAATATTTAATACTCCTATTAACAAATACAACCACATACACGTATCCAACTCTTTGTGAGACCGCTGTATTGATCCATATCTGTGTGCCCAGGCTTCTGACTTTCTGCGTTTCTCTGTTTGTGCTACATAGGGTGCTTTCAAACCCCATGAGTTGATGTTTTGTTTTAAGGATGTAAATTATGCTGCAGGGGCTACTTGCTTTCTCTGAGAATGGACTGATGATTAGATGGTGGTCTCTAGAGTCTGTATGGTGGGAAAAGCTTACCCGTAATCTCGCTCCTGTTCAGTGCACCAAATTGATTTTTGTTCCACCATGGGAGGGGTTCTCACCTAATTCAAGTAGGACTAGTATAATGACAGCTGCTGCATTTCCCAAAGATGGGCACAATACATCAAAGGTACTTTCAGATTTATTTCCCACTTCATAAGAATATTTGCACGATTGGATAACCATATTCATTCCTTTATTGTATTATTATTGTTGACTTGTTGTTGATGTCTTACAGGAGAGCTTTGAGGCTTCGAATGAAATGGACAAATTAAAACTGTTGATTCATAATATTGACTTGTCCTATAGATTAGAATGGGCAGGAGAAAGAAAAGTAAAGCTCACACATCATGGCCGCGAATTGGGTATTTTCCAGCTTCAAGTGTAATTCTTCTTTGTCTTCAACCTTTCTTGTGCATTCTACTATTCTTTTCGGTTAAATAGGGGTGTAAACAAGTTAATGATATTCGGTCTTCAATGATTTTTGTCTTGATTTTTGAAGTGCATGTTTACTGTAACTGGGGACATTGAATCTAATGTATATATAAGCTTTTAGCGGTGCAATGTTGCAGCCATTCTTAGCTTTTTACTAATTGATATGTTATGAATTGAGGCTTGGGTTGCTCAAAAAAATATTAAAAGACATTTATTCTCACCGGAAATGGACATTCCATGTTGGGCAAATGGTGACTTTTCTTTTTTTAGTACATGTTCAGACTTCAGAGTATTAAACAAATAATGCAAACGAACCAATGCCGGTCAATTGAAGGCTTTTTTCTCGGAAGAGGACCAACTTCTTAGTGTTAGACATATTAATCACATAATATGTCACATACATATACATACATACTATACACATGCATGGTACATGCATACGTACCAAACTCCCCACCAAAGCCGCACACAGACAACCAAAGATACGTAAGTGAGAGTAAGATGGTTGTTTGCGATATAAGGCGAGTGTGGGTGAGGTATAGGAGAGGGATTTGGATGGAAGAATATTGTGTAAATAAGTGGCCATAAGGACGGCATGAGGCCATAATTTTGGTGGAACGGACGCATGAAGGAGAAGTGTGCGGGTGACATTATTAATGTAACGAATTTTTCGCTCGGCTTTGCCATTTTGAGGGGAGGTGTAGGGGCAGGAGAAGCGAAAAGAGATGCCATAGTTAGAGCAATAAGTGTGAAATAACGAGTTATTATATTCACGACCATTATCACATTGTAACGTTTTAATAGATAGTCCAAATTGATTTTGAACAAACGTGTTAAAATGTACAAATTTGGAGAATGCATCAGATTTGTGAGAGAGTGGATAAATCCAAAGAAAATTGGTAAAGTCATCAAGAAACAAAATATAATACCGGTGACCAGTGGAACTTAAAATGGGTGAAGTCCACAAGTCACTGTGTACAATATCAAAAGGAGCATGTGTAAAAGAATATGATGGGGAAAAAGGTAATTTATGATGTTTCCCCATTTGACAAGAAGGACAAATATCATCATATGCTTTATTACAATCAATGAAACTATTTTGACTAAGACTACGAAAAATGGGTGCGCCGGGATGACCAAGCCGGTTATGCCATATAGTGGATGAAAGACCAGCGAAAGTGTGACGGGGAGGCTGACACACTGGGTACAAATCGCCTTGACTGTTACACCTGAGGAGTGGGGTTCCTGTACGAAGATCCTTCACAGAAAAACCAAAAGGGTCAAATTCAATGGACACTTGGTTATCGTTAGTGAATTTTCGTACGGAAATTAAATTTTTAACAATATGAGGGGCATGCAAAACCTGACGTAACACAAGGGGGGAAAAAGAAGAAGATAAGTAGGTGTGACCGTGACCCATCACCGGAATGGATGAACCATTACCGACTACGATACTGCCTTTAGGGCCCGTATTAATAAAAGGCGAGAGAGTACCTGCGTCCGAGGTCATGTGGGAAGTTGCCCCGGTGTCCATGTACCAATTGTCATCCGGGGGATTGAGAGACATGGTATGCATGGATGTGTGAAGATCTGTGGGCATAAAACTTGGTGTGGAACCCGTAGGGATTGTTGGGTATCCATAACCGGCAGTAAGTGCATGTGGACGAGGACCCAAAAGACCGGCAGAAGAAGACCTGGGTGGAGTATTATGTCCAGGGGCAGTAGGGTAAGGGCATGGAGGTGTCGGCCAGAATTGCTGCATCCATGCGGCCCAAGGAGGGAAGGCCCATGGAGAACCTGGGTATTGCGGCCATGCGGACTGGTCAGACGGACGAGGACCAGATTGGCGTCCACGGCCCCTACCACGGCCAGTGCCGTTGCGGCCGCCGCCGCGCGGGCGGGGAGCAGAAGTAGGCGGCTGTGCAGGTGGCGGAACGGTGGCGGCAAGAGCCGAAGCGGAGGGTACTGACTCATGCTCAACGCTATGTGCTTGCCGGCCTTCTTCCAGGAGAAGCATGGAGCGGGCGTTTTCGAACGTCGGAAGGGGGACCGTTTGCTGGATCATGGAAGCAATCGTGGCAAATGGTGCGGTGAGCCCGTTGACCAATCGCAAAATCAGTCGATTATGATCGACCGGAGCACCAACATTGGCGAGATTGGTGGCAATGGTGCGGAGTTGCTGGCAGTAGGCTGAAATAGAGGCAAAATTGGCCAAACGGACGTGAGAGAATTCGTCCTCAAGGTGCACCGCACGAGCGTGCTTATTATCCTGAAAGATGTTGGCCAATCGGGTCCATGCTTCCATAGCCGTAGAGTCCGGTTCAAGAATTGTAAGTAAGAGATCTTGGGAGATGGTGCCATATATCCATTGGAGGACAACGGCGTCCAAGCGATCCCAGAGAAGAGGGTCGACGGAGACGGTGGCATCGTCGGAATCGTCATCGGTGTCATCCCCCTTGCCGGCGGAAGTAGTGGCGGGTTTGTTCGTCGGAGGGATGATGTGATCCAAGACATCGTATGCACGGGCGGTAATCTTAAAGAGTTCCGCCCAAGAAGAATACTGGACTTTTTCGGTGTCAAGGATGAGGGGAATTAAATTTTTGATGGAGGTGACCGCAAGAGCGGGGTGAAAAGAGCTTTTGGAAGAAGAAGCCATGGGAGAGGATCGAAAAATTAGTCTGATACCAAGTTGGAAGATGTAATGTTCACCGTAAAGCTTTGTGATGAATTAATCGACTATAAATAGTCTATGTACAATTCGATCCGATGACTATTGATCGGTGATACAATTAATGAAACTCCGAAGTATAAGAAACGTAGTACAACTAAACTACTGGATAAGTGTACACATTAATAATAATAACAAGCTACAGGATAATACACTTGAGAGGCGTGTGCGGCTTTGGTGGGGAGTTTGGTACGTATGCATGTACCATGCATGTGTATAGTATGTATGTATATGTATGTGACATATTATGTGATTAATATGTCTAACACTTAGCAATGTGGGGTTTTAATCCTGAATGCTATGGTACCCATAAAACTGTACTTACTATGCATTTAATTGGTCATAGTCAGTATCTCATCATTTATTCATATTAAAATTACGTAGAATTTAATTGCAATTTTTTATTAGTCTATGTGAACAAGATATGGTATTTTGAGGTACCATAAAATATGCTTTTATTTTATTACATGGGTGGGTAAGGGACAATTCATGCCATGCCACTGTGTCAGTCAAAGCCACAAAAAGATGACAGAATGAAAATATACACATTGCTATAAATTAGTATAAAACATGTTAAAGGTAAAAATAAAACATGCGCGAAGTTGGTCTGAGCGTAATTTGTTTTCAAAATAAGTGTTATGTAATCCCTAAATAAGAAATTACTTAAAATATGAATAAAACACATTTTAGGCAGGCTTGGACTCGGGCCGGGCCGGGTCTTGGTCGGGCCTAGGCGGGCCGGCGGTTCAGAATTGGTGGACTCGGGACCGGCCCGGGTAGCCACCGGGTCTGGGCCGGGCCTTCATTTTTTTTTTTTGCTTTCCCAACCCCCTCTCACCCCCCAAACCCCTCCTAACCATCTAGCCCAACCCGGGTGGAACCCCAAAAAATGAAAAAAAAAAATTAATTTGGCCCGCAACCGGGCCCGACCAGGCTGGGCCGGTTCGTCAAATGTAAGACCCGAGCCCGGACCTCCCCACGGGCCTAGGCCCGACCCGGACCTGAGAACCGGGCCAGTCCCGGTCCCGCACAGTAGCGGGCCAGTCCACGGGCCGGGTGGTCCGAACCGGGTCCAAGACTATTTTTAGGAAATAGGGCTAAGTATGTTTAGTTCTTTTAATAGGACGTTTTTTAAAAACACTTTTTTCTTCTAATAAGACTTATTCAGTCTTATTAGAAGAATAAAACAATAAAAACTTGCAAAATTGAAGGAAATGCTTTATTTTGAGCAGAAACGGATGATACCCATTTTAGTAAAATGTACTCCCTCCGTCCCTTATTGTTGTTCCATTTGCGGATTACGAGGTTGACCGACGATAAAGTTAAATGATCCCTGTGAAAACTCGGATTATTTTTAGTAAATAAAATTTACATATTCAGAAACTACATTAAACCCGCTACAAAGCCTGCAAAAAATAATTCAACTTTTATAAAATTTTGATATAAAAAGTAAGAGATTAAGAGTGATTTAAGTTGACCAGTGAATAGTAAAATGGAACTTCTTTCAGGGACAGAGGGAGTACGTGTTATTCTTTACTTCTATTTCGTGGTTATCTATACTGAATTCAGCTGAAACAATATATTTACATAACTGAATGATCAAGATATAATTGACCATACTTGCAGTGATGCTAACTGTCCAAGTAACAGATTGATAGATGCTAATATGTAGCTAACTAGAGATTATTGCGGGAGGGATAGTTTGGCAAAGAAGAATAACAAAACTGTGACATTAGCCCTTCCAGATCCTCTAAACCTGCAAAGAAATCTTCACCATCATCCATTATTACCGGTTGCTTCTCCGGCGCCATATCACCACTTATTTCTACCAATCTCTCCTCATCTTTTATCGACGTTACTATTGCTTCCTCCTTGCTGGACGCCGGGGATAGATCCGATGAAGAAGAAGAAGAAGAAGATGGCTCTTTACCCTGATGATGATGCGATATTATTTGCGCAAGAAGCTGTGGAGTCGGTTTTGAAGTGGAGGTAGGAGCAGCAGCACTGGCAGGTGCGATGAACTTGTTGTTTCTCATAGTTCCGGCGAGGGAGTTGCGCCGCGTGGGGTGGCTGTGGCTGTGCTCCGCCGTGTAGGTGACTATGAACATCCCCGGCTTACTATTGCTTTTCTCCACTTGCTTCCTCGCTAAACATCCTTTCGCACTACTGCACCTATAATAGCTCCTGCATATACATGCCCAAAAATAAAGCTAGCTAATCAAGTTTCTAGTTTTGCATCTCATATCAATATGATCCATGCATGGAGGAACTAATATAACATGACAGTATGAAAAAAGTAGTGGTTTTTAGTTAAAGAAAATAAATGCAAAGAGAGTAAATTTCTTGGGCCCAAAATGATTTCTAATTTTCCGTTTTAACATTAACTTACGATAAAATAAATGCAAATTTTATTAATATGATCGAGTAAAATTTATGTGAATTTTTAAAATGGGAGTACTATTTTTCCGAATAGGAGTGCATTGGTGTCATGTTGAAAAATAATACTACCTCCGTCCCGAATTGATTTGCAAATTTGACTTTTTTTGGTCAAACAGTTTTATTTTGTTTGCTTAATTAGGATGTCAAATTTAAATTATATTCTAATTGGGAGTATACAACTTTGAAGAAATTTTAATGTAATTTCCGAATATGTAAATTTTAATTACTAAAATTGGAATTAAATATCGATAGTGAGGACTGACTTTTATTGTTAATTGACCAAAAAATGTTGATTTTGCAAAACAATTTGGGACGGAGGGAGTATCATATCTTGGAATTATCAAAAATTAATACGATAGTGTTCATGCCACAACTGAAGCATTTTTTCAAGAATGGTCATAATTAGTTCTATTTTCTCCTATATACTACTCCGTAAGAGAAAACACAGTACATCTATTACAGAATTTCATGTTCATTTTACTCATATTTGGGCAATTTATTTGAAATAGATCTTCTTGAGTGACTTAGGCAAGAGGATCCATCTGTGTGAGCCGGTATAAAGAGTTTTCAAAACATTTTTCTTATATAACTTTTTACGGTATATGCCAAAAGGGAAAAGGGAAATTAGTGTATGCCAAAAGTTGATACGAAATATATAGAAGAAAAAAGAACTATGTTAATAAAAGGGAAAAATAATTAAAATACCCTAAATTTTGAAGAGTATGAGATAAACATCCTAAACTTTCATATCTAACTTAAATACCTCAAACTTTATGTAAAAAGTTATTTTAACACCATGATCATGTATCATTTCAAAATTTTATGAGTCAATCGCATAATTTAAAATAGCAAATTGAAAACATTCCATTTATATAGAGTTGGGGGGGGGGGGGGGGTAATACTATTACTCCATATTTTACAATGAAAGTTTAGAATGCTAATTTTATTTTCATGAATGCTAAAATGTTTTTAAGTTATGAAATTAACACCAATTATTAATATTTTTGAAAAAAAATAATACAAGATTATGGCGCTAAAATAACTTTTTATATAAAGTTTGAGATATTTAAATTACATATGCAAGTTTCGGGTGCTAACCTCACACTCCGTCAAAATTTGGGATATTTTAATTATTTTTCCCTTAATAAAAAAGGATAAATCATTTTGAAAGGGAGGAAAGTATGACAATTAAGACCATGACATGCGTATAAACTGAAGCTCTCACACGGCATGCGTATGCCATGCATGACATCACCATATATTATGATAAAAAAAAGTATAGGTCTAGCTAAGGAAAGAGTGAAAGAGGGAATCTTTTTAATTATGGTATGCTATACTTTTTTCTCAAATTAATTTAATATTTTGTTTTATTTTTAATTTTGGTAAGATTTTGTTGTAAAAATAAGATTGGGCCCCTACTTTACTAATCACTTACCTCATTTATTTTATTTGGTCTATATTAACTTCCTTTACCATATTAAGGGTAATTTTGAAAAGTAAACTTATAATTTTTCATATCTAAAAACGCGTAAAGATAAACTAGAAAATTAATTTATGGAGGGAGGAAGTAATTTTCTCATCAAGAGGGAGATAAGTACCTAGGATAGGGTGAGCCTTTAATCGGTTTCTGCCCGTATTTTCGCCAAGCCCACTTATCATCTTTAGAAAGCTCCTCAGCTCCTACTTGAATCACCACTCTTTTATGCCCATTCTTCCTATACCATCCATAACATGAAAACCTCAAATTATATATATGCAGAGTAATCAAAGACTTGTCAGTTCATAGTATTTTTCGAGACTATTCTTTGTTTAAAACTACGTATGATATCTATACTTTATAAAAAGAGACACATTATAATTTATAAGAGTAGTCCAAATAAGTCCCATGACTTGTATGTATGCAAGTTAGTCCAGTGAATGTTTTGACAGTACCGTCTAAGCTCAAATTAAACAAGAAAACCGACCCGACTAATACTAAAAAATATATACTTGTAGCATATTACTGATAAAATTGATCTGATCTAACATGATACCATTTTTCGAAGACATGTTCGATCAGCAATCCATTTGCAAGAGATTAACATACAAATTAAGCTTTTAAATTATGATGGAATCTCAAACCAAACCTTTAATATATTTACTCAGTAAGTTCAGATATACTTGCAATTGGTCTCATCGAAAGGATCCAACTACTAATATATACTAAGTTATGTTGCACAGAAACGTGAGAATCATTAGAAACAGGATTTGGGAAACATCTTTTTCTAGCAACAAACTAACTGTTTGGAAGGTTTCTGAAGAGTTTCTGATGGAAATGGAAACATAGATACCAAGTATTCATTAACTTAACTATTTAAACAAATTAAACCAACCTTGTTTTGTGCTTGGGTGCAAGTTTTGAAGTACTCTCCAAGACAGACGATGGCGGCGAAGCTTCACCCGAAAACCCCTTCATCTCAAGATCAACAACTGCTACATCTTGTTGTTGCATGACTTTATTGGAGAAAGGAGGGGATGATGATGATGATGGACCAGGCAGCTGGTAAAAGGGCTTGTAAAGCTCCTCTAATAATGCATCATTTCTGGATTCCACAAAGGAATCACCAAACAAGTTGTAAGATTGGGGAGTGAAGAAGAAATGATTTGGTGCTGGATTCATATCCATTGATGGCTGATGATGAACTACTGCTTGGAGGCCACAGTTGTCTTCAAAATCCACTATGCACTCACCCATCAAAGTCCTTTGTTCCAAGCTGGGAAACTAAAACCAAATCTATATATCCTCTTTTGTTTGTTTATTTGATTAGTATGGGCATAATTATAGTTGGTGGGGGATATTTAAAGAGAGGTGTGGAATGGGAATTGAACTGCGAAAAAAGTGGGATGGCAGCTTTATTTGGAAATTAATTCGTCGTCGTTTTAGTCTTGTTTGACTTTGTGAAATTGTCAAAGGGGGTGCCCAGCTGGAAATCTTACACACGTTTTCGTCAGACTTGCATACATAGGTGATAAGTCAGAGGTGTATATTATTTATACAAAATCAAGTTCCACATTTGACTTCATATTAAGAAAAGAAATTTGATTTTACTGTGGAGTGCACTGTTTGGACACTGTTTGACACTGTTTGGACACTGTTTGGCACTGTTTGAAATTGTTTTGATGTAGACAATTTGCCAAATAAGGAAATGTTTGAAAGTGGAACTTAATTTTGGGATTGTCCGAAAAGAAAAGGCGGAACTTGTTTTTGAATCGGAGGGAGCATTTATATACTCCGTATGTAATGCGTAGTAATAAAACAATAATAATATATGCATACACTAGTTGTCCCTTAATGGGAATATACGTGCATGCTTACCTCACATCACCACCTTCTATCGTTCAAAAGGTAGTTGAATTCCTCAACTAACATAAAAAGAAATTTAATTGGAAATTGTAAGTACTATGAATGTTCAAATTTAGATTAATCTTACAAAATTTTAAATTTAGTCATGTAAGGATGTTTTTAATTTGCTGGTCTAATCTGATCTGGTCTCTTTGTATTTTTATAACTATCTAAGTCTGGTCTGGGACTGAAAACAGTCCAAGTAAAAACATCCTAACATGTAAAGATGTAACTTAATTGAAAGCTATAGGTTTATGGTATGTGCTAATTAAAACTAGCAATTCTATATACTTAATATAGTGTCAAAGAAGGTATGCTCTTTATTAAGTTGTACTAGCATTTTATTGAACTCTGTATGGATAGAAAAAAAGTAAAAATGTATGTGTTGGCCGAAGTCTTATAGAGAGCCTTTTAAAAACACATTAGAATATACTCCTTAATCAACAATTTTCATATGTGTACATGTTATATACGTAGTGTATTGTTTTGCACTATTGTGTAGTCATTGCTTAATTTGATAAACTATCAGTAACTAATCACATGTTATATATAATGTGTATATCATTCTCTGTAGAAACATACTTGTTACATAATTCAATGTTATTAAGAAAATTACATATTATTAGCTTAGTATACAGAAATTAAATCTCAATAGCGTTTATATAAGATAAATCATAGCTTAATTACTGAGCTTTCAAATTGTGGGCCACATCATGTATTGCAGCCACAATATAGCTATTGTGGTATGCAGTGAGATTGATATATACCGCAACAATATGCCAACATACACAAACCATATGGGGCTGCCACTCCTAATACGTACTCCTAGTTGCTTTCTTTTTATTACTCCCTCCTTCCCCAAGAAAATCTATTTTCACACAGATTAAGAAAATGAATTTGAATGCACACTGTTTGGCACTGTAGTGACACTATGGGAACTGTATCGACACTGTCTGTAGCGACACTGTTTGACACCATTTTGCACTATTTGGTATAAATTTGTTTATTACCAAATAGGGAAGTTAAAGAAGTGGGATATTTATTTTGGGACATCCATTTTGGGAAAGCAGGACATTTATTCCGGGACGGAGGGAGTACATATCTTACTCATTCTGCTGATATTAGTTTCATGTACAAATTACATAGTTTTTCCACAGACTACGTTACTAAAATTTGTGTATAAACGTTTTCAATGACTACTTAGAGCCCGTTTGGTAATACTCAAATCGGCTGCATTGGCGGATTCTGATGAAATTTATGAAGTTTTGCCTGAAGTGGTTGTATTGACCGATTCTGCTGATTTATGAAAATTTATATTTAAAATATACGGTGTATATTTTTATTAATTAAATAAAGAAAAAAAATGTACGAAAAATAGCTAAAATGATGCACTACAGTAACTTCAGTCAATATAGCAAGAAAAGTAACTGCAACCTTATTTTTTCTTATTATTACACAAATTCAGCTCGAGAAATCAAAAGTTACATGTTTGGTGAAAATGGCTGATAAGCCTGATAAGCCAAAAAACGGATTACCAAATGGTCTCTTATAAACTCGATCATACTCCGTATTAAATTTTAAAGACTAGGTAGTAGTAATTCTTTAAAATGAATTTGTTTTTAGCTATTATATCCAAAAATAATTATTCAACTCGTAAAGGTATAGGTAGGTTTTCTTTAAAGGATAAGTTGTGTTTCATATTATCTCTTTCTCCCCTAAATACATCTCAATAATTAATGTTATTTAACTATTCATTATTACTATTTGTTACCCAATGTGAATATGATCGATATTCATGTTATTCGAAAAACTAGATTGATTCCTCGTAAAAAAAACTAGATTGATTTTCAACGTAGTTTTTTTTGGTCAAATTGTTTATTGAAACACAACTTGTTTGAGTGAAAGAGTACGAAAATTCAATAAAAAGCATCATGCATTGTTGGACATTATTACTGCTCCGTCCGTATATTTCACAAATATTGACAATTTGACATTTGAAACTTGTTAATAATGATGGTATAGCCGTATAGGAGCATCTCGATCTAATAAAGTTGATTTTTTTAGACCCATTCTACGATAGTATAAGAGCCCGTTTGGAGAACTCTGTTTTCGGCTTATCAGGCTTATCAGTCAGCTTTTTCACCAAACACGTAACTTTTACTTTCGCGCGCTAATTGTGTAATAAGCCGAAAAAGTAAGGTTGGAGTTACTTTTCTGGCTGTATTGGCTGAAGTTACTGTAGAGGACCATTTTAGCTATTTTTACATATAATTTTTTCTTTAATTTATTAATAAAATATATTTTTAAAATATTTTTTTCTTAAATCAGCAGAATCAGCCAAAACAGCCACTCCAGCCAGAATATCATAAATTTCAGCAGAATCAGCCAAAACAGCCGATTTTGGTGCTACCAAACGGGCTCTAAGTATGTTATAACATACAAAAGGTTAGATACTCCCATCCATTCTTTTTAATTGCAACATTTTAAACTTTGAGTATCGGTATGTCAAATCTTATTAGTAAAGAAAATTTAAAATTAGAAAAACTCAACACATTTTCAAAAAATAAATTTGTAATACGTAGTATATTATTAAATAAAATGTAGCAATGTAGAACATGTAAAAGACTAAAAGTGCAAAATTCAACTATTTGTTTGGGCAAATGAAAATATTGGATAATGATTTTGTAAATTAGATATAGCATACTCCATACTCGGTATAGGTCATGAAGTGTACTCCATGCGTTCTTTTTATTAGTCCTTCTTTCCTTTTGAGACGTTTTTTTATTTGTCCTCCTTTCCCTTTAAGGAAAGTTTTTGAGAAAATACCCCCACTTTTATTACTTTTATCTCACTTACTTTTTACAAACTACTTTCTCTTTCCCATTTTACTACGTAGTATCACTTTACTCTTCTTAATACACCCTCTTTCCTACTTTATCACCACTTTACTCTTTTTAATATACCATCATTCCTACTTTATTATTTACCCTACACACTCTATACTTACCCTACTACTTTATTATTAAAACTCGTGCCAAAGCCTAAGATGACTAATAAAAAAGAACGGATTTAACTATTTATTGGGTTACCCCCATGTGCGAGAGACCTTATCCTCGCAAATGCGAATTTGATACTCTGTACTTTGGATGTTCCATTTTCGCCTTATTAAATGTTTTTTTTATCTAACATGCTTAATTTTGTCATGACCAAAATACCGATATATGTAATTGGATTGAATTTTTTTATCTGGTTTGATCAGAGCTGATATGAATAGGTCTTGTTTGAGCCGATAAATGTCTAGTGTATATATATTTTATGATTGTCGAAATTTGATCTCGTCTAATCTACTCTGATTTGATCTGGGACTGAAATAAGTCCAAGTAAACACATCATAAAAAAGACATAAGTTACTACGGAGCAGGCACGTGCCTTATGTTAGGCTAGAGAGGCCCAAGCCTCAGGGCCCCAAAAAATTGAAAAAATTAGGGGCCCATAATTTTTTAAACATTACTATTATTATACCTATGTATTTTTCAAGACCGTCGCCATTTGGGGCGGTTCCTGGTGAACTTTTTTGATGAAATTTTTTGAGCATATTCTTCATTAAATCTAATTTATCCGTACCAAATTTCAGCAACAAATTCAATCGGGAAGACAGTCAAATGAATTTTTGAAGATAACTGCGCAATTAAACAGCAGTATATTTCAGAAAATCATTTGACTGCCTTATTTGTTGAATTTTTAGCTGAAATTTGGTATGGATAAAATAGACTTAATGAAGAAGATGCTAAAAAAATTTCATCAAAAAATTCCACCGGGAACCACCTTAAATGGTGACGGTCAGGCAGAACCTCTTATATAAGGGGTGATTTGCACTTTTTAAGTTAGCTCGAGGGCTGATTTGTAGAGAAAATTAATAGTAATATTGTTGAGGATTCCACTAAATTATGTATCTAAAACTGTGTGATGGGTTTTACTTAAGTAATTTTTTAATACATTCAATGTCGTTTTGTGACAAGGAAAGACTTCTATTGAAAAATTGTGTTTTTGTGGTATTTAATCATTCAATTTTAGTGAATTTATATGATAAACAAACACTATATATGGGACCCATGTTATGAAGCTCGACTCAGGCCTGAGTTTAGGTGGGACCGACAAGTATTTTGATTGATCCTATCAAGGATAATTATTTTAACTTTTTTTCCATGTAATTTTTATCTTATTTTTTAACAAAATATATTTTAAATGTAATTACTGCGTAGTATAATTTAACAAATTCATCTGGTATTATGGGCATTCAGCCAATTTAAGTGAAGGCGACTTAATATATTGAGTATGAAGTATTATCGTATTCAGAATATCAACCAATGTCAGCGTCTACGGCACCCTTCCGACACGGCGCCGCAAGAAAAATAATATTCTGATCGGAAGTTTCTTATTCTCAATTCACACTGCTCAAGGGCGATCTACA